TAAATAATATAAAGATTTGAAGAAAATATTTCTTTAAAACAAATGACATGATCCTAGCAAACCCCGATTGAAGTTTAGTTAAAATCGGTTCAAGAGTTTTGGTAGAATCCAGGAAACAAAGCATGGAGAGCCTACTACTGTATTGAAGTAGGTACCTACTAGGTCTGCCAAGTTACGTCGAGCCCTCTGTCCCCAGTCCCATTGTCCCACATGCATGACTTTCAGCGCGAGCGCAACTGACGTCACTTTTACGTAACACAACAATATTAAGAATTCTTTCCGCCGATCGAGTCCGTCATAATAAAATGAAGACTTTTCTTTGAATAGAACAGGTTTGCGTCAAAGGTGTCACAGAAAATATACAAGAACAATAAAACACTTTTAGGCTGCCATTCGGTGATGACGTAAATATTTTCCAACAAAATTAAATAAAGAAGTTATGTGATATGAAGTTGTAGAGGAAAATTAATCTTAATCCGCGGATCTATCCCTGCCAGGCAGGTTAATCGTTTTGCTAACTCATTCTACACTATAGGTAAAAAATGAAAACATGGAACATCTACTTTTGCATTCCCTGAATAGTTATCATAAAGTTTTTCTTTGTTTAGAGTTTTTCTTTGAATACTACTTATTATGTAGTTTTTCTTGGCCTAAAAACCAATTTAAAAAGCAGGATACACGTTCCTAAGAGATCTCTTCTCTTAATAAAGAAGTAATTAAATCACCAGGACAAAGCTCAGGCACTTCGTGAATGCAATCCACACAAGCAAAGCCGCGGGCAAGTGTAATAGCAAACAATTCTGCGCAACAATAGCAATTATTTAACGGGCGTTATAAACGTTTTACGGCACGCACGCCGACATCAAATAAGATCCCGCAAACAAGGAACAAAGGAAGACAGCCATGAATCCAGATTCATAACTCTTTAATGGCGTTTAGTGCGCCTCATGTTTCACAACAAACTGAGTAAAGTCTAGAAAGTTTTTTACGGGAGACCGAAAACAATAACAGTCGTTTGCAATTATTTAGAAGTTAAGACATAAGTTCTAAAAAAGGATCAATAAAGTCTCCTCACATGAGGGTATAGGTACTGGTATTTTCCTGAAGTCTTGACAGAGTTTTCAGATAGTAATCAGAAGTAATAGAAAGAAAAAACTGGTGTTAGAATAAAGTGTATAAACCAGGGTCGGACTGGGCCGGAAGGGCCCGGGTGGCTGATAGCAATCCCGAGGCCCGAGACTAGATCATGGTGATGGGATACTATCGAAAAATACTGAGATACNTGTACAATTTTTTTGTACGACGCATAGTTTCCGAGACATGCACGTGGGCTACCGTAGCACAGGGGCCACGCTGCGCGGGCTCCCTGTGCTACGGTTGCCGCATGCCCCGCAACCCAGGCCGTGGGGGGCCCGCGCAGGCTGGGGCCCGGCTGGCAAATGCCACCCTGACTGTATGGCCAGTCCGACGCTGGTATAAACCCTACAAAAATAGTGACGAAAAATACCGACCAATGCATCAGTCTATACTTACGGTTAGTATACTCGTAGTTATGGATTTTGGAACTAATACATAATATGTAGTAGTTGAATATATGTAGTTCTGGACATTTAAATACTGCCATTAATGGAATAGGTGCCTTAATCTGATAATAGAAACGATAGCCATTTTCAGGTAATGGCATATTGATGTAGCTTTTTCGGGTTATCTGATGGAGATACGATGATTTAATTGCTGTTTTGTGTTATACCCTATCTGAATATCGAACCCGAACCGTTTGGATCAGAATAAACAATGATATTCTATTCTATCTGTTCAGACACAAAGTCAAAAGAATGCAGATTTATTTATCATTCGTTGAAAATCTAACGCACTCTGCCGGCGTTTATCAGTCATTTGTCACGAGCGCATCTAAGAGTGCGCTCGCGCATGACGTCAGTTGTCACCTAATGGCTGCCAAGTGACGGTGTGGAGACGTCTAGGTGTTTATGGGTGGTCGAATTGTGTAGAGAGGATACTACTCTATTCGATTCACACTACTCATCAATAGTGACGAATATGAATGTCAGTATCGAGGGGAAATAACATAGGTAGGTAAATACTTATACTTTAAGAGGAGTTTAACCATCAATGGAAGACAAAGTAAATTTTCTATGTAGGCTCTCAAAGAGACATATGTACGTCCAAACCCTTACTACTACTTCGGAATAGTAATATGTGCGATTCTGAAATGCAGTTGTACTAAAACGAAAAAAATAATTGTATGCAATGTTCAAATAATTTCGAAAACTTGTATCGCGCATGGAATTTATTCTTCTTTTTTCTGTTTGCGCTACAAGCTTTCGAAATAATTTGAACATTGCATTGCATACAATTATTTTTTTCGTTTTAGTACAACTGCATTTCAGAATAAAGCTTGTTTTTAAAAAGTTTTTTTTATTATTATTTTATTTTACACTTTTTAGTTGTATCTCAATCTGGACCCTGGTCATCATTTAGCACCAAAGTGCTCGGGAAGACGAATCCAACGAACCCAAACTCGATGAGTTTCCGCCGTTTCGTTTAGGAGTTCCTATGGCCACCTCCCGAATCCATCATCAGGACCCTGGACATCATCTAACACTAAAGTGCTCAAAAAGACAAATCCAACGAACCCAAATGCTATGCGATTCCGCCGTTTCGTTTAGGAGTTCCTATAGCCACCTCCTAACTCCATCATCAGACCAGTTCAATGGTACCATAACATTGCATTGTCATCGTACTTACATAAGTATACCAAATTTCAGCTCAATAGGTTGAGGAGAAGTGGTCTTAATTTCAGTTACAAGATTTATCCCACACATACTAACAAGTGAAGTCAATATAAAGCTTGTAATAATAATAATAATAAAAATGACATTAATCCGCGACGACGTGAATTTCACTTTCAGCTACGCTTTCTGTCTAGCTAGGCCTTAATACATAGTAGTCATTGTAAACTTTTGTTTATAAGATTCTGTCACCGCCTCGTCACACCAGACCTGACTGGTGCTAAATCTGTTGAACAATGGAAATATTGTTCGCGAATGTTGGCTCAACGAGCGAAGCGCACGCGATGATTGAGAGATAAACTTTAGCTATGCAATAATAACGGGATTAGCTACTCTGGTCAATTTACATAATAATATTGATATGCAGGACCGGTCTTTGTGGAAATCCTTGGAGGAGGCCTGTCCAGCAGTGGATAAACGAATTAATATATCTTTATAAAAAACTTAGAGCTAATTGTATTATAAAACCTGAAATTATTTTTAATACCAGATTGTTGTTAAATATGTACTGATGCTATGATATCCCCGCAACGAATCAAAAAGATGTGATTTAAAGGTAAGATGTTTTCGTCAAAATTGAGTAATTCCCTGTAACATGGCGGTTGGTGGTCTTGTTGTAAGTCCAGGCTAGTAGCTACGACCATCTTTCGTGATCATCATTCTTTCATCCTTTCGTTTCATCTAGATCTGTCGCAATAGCTACATGTTATTAGCATTGTTATGTTCCGGCAATTTGAGAGGTAAGAAAGGCAGTTGCTCTATGGTTAAGACGCTACGCTTCCACCTTCTCAGCTTGAGCACTTTCCATCAGAGATCCTTGAGATGCAAGTCAAGAGCTTTCTCTTTTTTATTATGTCTACACAGTGTACAATAAAGGTAAACATGTATCAAGAAAGTTTACTAACTCCAGTCTAGCACTAAGGCTATTCCTGACGAAGATGGAAAGTGCGTAGCAATTTTGATACGCTGTCAAAGATTGTTTAGTCTGCTGTGACCGAACAATGCTGGCCTCGCTGTGCATTAGGAAGCTATTAAAAGATCGATTATGTTTAACTTCACTTTATGAGACGACGAACGAACCAATGATTGGCGTCGATATACGTTACAAAGTTGTAAAATGCTCTTTGTCATGACATAAAATATCCTAATACCACCATCGTAGTAGCAACACCGTTCTACAAATTAACCCCCTTACTAATAAAACTTACACGCTCGTTGAACAGTGTTTTAAAGCAAAATGTTTACCTACTTTCTAAATAAAAAAAAAAGATCTCTTAAAATGTCTTCACATATAATAGTAGTCGATAAATCAATGAATGCATTTAAATATTGCTAAAGAAAATACAAAAAAATGTAAATTACACCAACAAAACAATAGACAGACAATACATTCACTTGAAGTGTTTACATACATTTACAAATACATCAATTAGTGTTCGTCATACATAACAAATAGCCACATAATTTACATAAAACATAGGCTAAGCTGTTTTGCGTAGGCAAGTTGCGCATAAATAAAACTGAAATAAACTTGTTAGACATGTTCCTGTACTTTTAAAACTGTGTAAGCACGAATTTTATATCTTTCCGTTCATTTACTGCTCACTTTTAACACAGGTAGGTATTACTTTACAATGAAGACAAATAAAAATTAATATGTACAAAAATGCATTGACTTTATCACTACAGTACAGGGTGAATAGAAATATTAGAAGAAATAAATTATGTACAGACGATATTCTACAAAAAAAAAATGTGCAAAATGCTCTTAATTTATTTTCCTTTTTAAATGTACCTACTAAGATTATGTAAATAACAAAGAACTGTGTCTCCAATGAAAACATTTATATTTTTTTTACTTTCTAGGTATACGGCTACAGAATAAAATAACATAATTATTATGTAAAAATTACATTTACAATAAGGGATAAGTTAAATTAATATTTTCCCTCTAGTTAGACTAGCTAGAATATAGCAGAGTTCGATCAGCCAGCCTTGAATTTGACTAAACAACTTCTGTAGGTTTCATCGATCTCATATTCCCACTCACCCTGTACAGTACGAAGCACAATGCATTCAAGTAACACCAACCAAGCCGTACAAAGCTAGCGTGGCGCGCGTAATCCATGTTCACTGTACCTGGTTACAGCACTTTCTGGGGCACGGTACCAAATGGTAAATGTGGCTCACCGGAGTCAGCGGGCTCGGGATACTGGAGGTTCGCAGCATACTAAGGCGCCGGCGCTGCTCGGCCGAGAGCGACGCGCGCCGGCTCCTGCCAACGCCATAGTCCGCTGAGTCCACGCTCGCGCCGCGGATCAGCGACGGACGGAACATTATTGTTTTAACGCTTTTGTTATTGTTATTTCGAAGCGTGATGTGTCACAATTTCACAATAAAAGGTTGAATTTTTTAGATCTGAATTTTTGGGATGGTTATGAGCGTAAATGTTTGCTGAGACAACGAAAAGTTTGATGAGAGCTTGCGCTGTGGGTCAAAACTACTTTTTACAATTGGCTTNCAAATTGACTAAAATGCGACGTTGCCAAACGAGCGCTACGGATGCGGGTAATAAGCAATACTCAATCCTAATTGCTTTACATAGAGCTTGGTTTGCTAGGGCAAACATCTACAGTGGTGCGCCGACGCTGCTTAGACCCGAAACATGAATGAACGGGGGCGGAGCATAATCGAGCGTGTGTGTGCAAACAATTTAGGCCCTTAAGGTGTCAAGGCGTTCGAGTCCCCGATAGTACATTTTCAAGAATGTTTCGAGGAAGATAAAATATCAGTTCGCCTACATTTTGATCTTAGGAAGGCCCAAAAACCGGTACTCCACTTTCTACCACCGGGCCCCACGCCCCCTTGTTCCGGCCCTGGCCCATCCAACCGAATAATGCTTTGGATTTATTTATCTGTATGTTATTCAATTACGGACCCACTGTGATGTATTAGTAGGTATCGGAGAAATCAACAGTAACAATGTAAATGATATTTCACTCGCCTTACGTTGACATATTGGAATTGAATTACGTTACCAATTGGTTTCAGAAGTGTACATTGCTTAGATAATTAATCTTCATAGCGATAATATTGAGATTTAGAACAATACCCTCTAACTGGCTAAAGGTCGTATAGGTATTTGTGTTCTGTGCGTTTGTGATAAAATTCAAGGTTGTTAAATCGTCGTGTGTTAGGGAGAAGGTATTCAATATTCAAGTTGGTTTTCTATGTCACAGGTATGCCCTTATTTTAACCGACATAAAAATGGAGAGGGCTTTTTGTACGTAGGGTTGGTCCTATTTGAATTGTATCAAAACAACTGTAAAAATAATGCAATACTTACTTACATCGTCAATTAATTGTGTATTCTGCTTTCCTTTGACCTTTTTTTGGTTACTTTAAGTACTTTATACAGGGTGTTTCTTGTAAGGTGTCAAGCCGAAGGCAGGTGATAGGTGAGGACTAGATCTATCGATTTCACCCCCATGTATGTTCTACGATTTTTCGTAGTTTAGAAGTTATCGTTAATTTTGTGATATTTTCAAATTTTATGACCTAGTGGCTTAATTTTTTTTTATCTTTTTTTTGGGTTGACTTTTCTCAGATTTCTTTTTTTTGACAGATTCCCTATTAGTTGCAGATATTTGTAAAAAATAATCACCTTCCTATCTTTAATGCAAGATACAAAATTTTTGCTAGAAACATAAAAAATATGCTTTTAGCAGAACATTCTAAAATTTTCAACTGAAATGTATGAGAAAAAAAAAGAATTTCCATAGGTCCAAAATAATTTTAAAAACTGCGCAGTTTTCTAAACTTTCATAATAACACAAAAAAACATGTACTTAATAGGCCATTATTTTCTGTAATCGCTCCACTTAGTCCTAAGAAAGTCAAAAACATGTAACGGAATCTCCGACTTACTACTTTAGTAGAGCGATTACAGAAAATAATGGCCTATTAAGTACATGTTTTTTTGTGTTATTATGAAAGTTTAGAAAACTGCGCAGTTTTTAAAATTATTTTGGACCTATGGAAATTCTTTTTTTTTCTCATACATTTCAGTTGAAAATTTTAGAATGTTCTGCTAAAAGCATATTTTTTATGTTTCTAGCAAAAATTTTGTATCTTGCATCAAAGATAGGAAGGTGATTATTTTTTACAAATATCTGCAACTAATAGGGAATCTGTCAAAAAAAAGAAATCTGAGAAAAGTGAACTCAAAAAAAAGATAAAAAAAAATTAAGCCACTAGGTCATAAAATTTGAAAATATCACAAAATTAACGATAACTTCTAAACTACGAAAAATCGTAGAACATACATGGGGGTGAAATCGATAGATCTAGTCCTCACCTATCACCTGCCTTCGGCTTGACACCTTACAAGAAACACCCTGTAGAATAGTCCTAGTGAATTGTCAACCTTCATTGCTGAAAACAAAATTGAAGACGGTTAACAGCAAGAATTTATAAAATTTAATTTATTAAACGTTATACAGGGTGGAATTTTGTAATGCCACCTGGAGGGAAAGTACTCTTAAAATTATAGATAGAAATTTTTTCTCAAGGAAAACATTCCATTATTTTTCAAAGGAAATAGAACTGCATTCAAAGATTTCCAAAAATTTGCTTGCCACACCCGGGAAATGAACTAACTAAAATCTGTTAAAAATTACACCTTTGTATTTTTATTGCATCGATCGTTAGGGTTAAGTATAAGGATGAAATCTCTCTAACAAACTTGATAAATTAAATGAAAGGAAAACCATGAAATCTTAAATTATTTTAATTATGTGCTGAAAATTGTATGGTATGGTAGTGAATTTTCGAAAAAAATTCGAAAATCTTTGAATGCAGTTCTCTTTCTTTTCAAAAATAAAGGAATGTTTTCTTTCAATAAAATTTTCTATCTACAGTATTACGAGTATATTGAAATAATGTTTATCCAAAACTGTTTTTAATACAAAAGCGAAGCTTTATTATAACTGATATTTTTGGCTTCGCTGTAAAACTTTCGTGTTCATTTGTCGATGCATCAGTTCTCCAAAATAATTACCAAAGTGATTATTACACTCAATCTACATTGTCCATACCAGTTCGGTGAGCGCTCATTATTTTTTAATTATCGTAAGCGATGACAAGTGCTGATATATGGGATTTAATTACAAAGCGCCTGTTATCGGTGCAACATAATTATACAAGGAAGAAACGTACGTATAGCAAGAATAAAACAGCCAAAACACTTTTATACCGGCCAAAAAATGCACATGATTGAATTTACAACCGTTTTTTTGGTACGAAATTGCAATTTTAAATGTCGCATAATTTATGGAACATTTATGAACCTTTCCTTGGAATTTGATGTCAGTTATTTATGGACATATTAAGAATTTACGAGTAAATTGCTAGAGTGCTCTCTAATGTAGAAAATCACGAATTCGACAATATTCCAGGAAAATCAAGGTACAAACTAAAGTTACGTGGTCGATGTTCCCCAGTTCTTAGAACTAGTGAGTGATGCGGGACGCAGGATTCGGGCAGCTGTCCCGGGAATCTTCTCATCTACATATCACGTTGCCAGATCACTGAACTATGTAAGCCATTGTTTCTCGATTGGGCATTGTGAAAGTGATATATGCCTTGTTAACTGCTCATCAGACGGCTATAGTAAAGATTTATTACCATGTAAGATCGTTTACTGTTTTGTTTTAAATACCCGTAGTGTTGTGATAAAGTTGAAACCGAAATACTAGTTAGTCCCTGAATCAGAGACGTAAGTAGGGTGCATATTATGCAATTAGGCAATGATTCTGTAACCAACCTCTGAATAAAACTATTGTCCATAACTAACTGTCACTTCCAACAATATTATTCGACGATCGCATAGTTGAAAAGTATCTGTTCAACCAATATGCAGGTAAATTGACCGTTGCGTTTCAATTGTTGCCCAATAGATTTACTTTAGTCAGACCTTCACTGGTTGGTTTTTTATTGACGGTCAGGCTAGAGATCCTAACCAGGCTGGAATTGCAGCGATGGTAACGAGGGTCGGGGAAAAGTCCTGTAGTTTATAACAATGGACTGTTTGATATATTTAGGCCATGACCAGGAATCCCGAGTCATCGAACAGTCGAGTGCACCTTTGTCTTTTTTTAAAAGAAGGGCCTGGACGTAGGCTCAGAGTTTTGGTAAGCGGTAGATATTATAATGAAGATTCATAATTATTAATTTCATTACTCAACGGAAGCGGAGCTTGTGGATTTATACCTCGTGTTTGTATTTTAATGCTACCATTTGTCAGGTGACTGACATTAATTTTGGTATCGCCCATAATCTTTGGGAGATTTATCAAATTAACGTAACCGCCTGTTTATCTCGCGATTGTCTCAGTTAAATCTTTGAATCAGTTAAATAAATCAATGTAAAATGGAAATAAACGCTGTGAATTTATGATTCGAGATTGTAATTAACAGAAAATGTGTCAGTGTGACACTAATCTTATTAAGGGAAATGTTAAATAGGGACTAAGATAACCATAATCTAATGTGTCTTTATTTTAATGAATGAGCTACGAAAAGTTTGGTTTTTAACGGCAAAATAATGACTAGACTTGGGTCAGAACTGTATTATTATCAGGGAATGTGATAATATGGTAATTAAGATAATAAAAAGTGGATATAAACATTTTGAAAGCGTTGCAGTGACGGAATTCCACCGTGATTACATTGTCGTATTTTTCCAGATAAGCAATAATATTGACTGAAAAATACAAAATTATATTAGGCATGATAGATTGTTTCATAGAGGATACAGGAAAAAAATCTACAGTTTTTCATATTACTTAGTTTAAAGTTATAGCATACCTACTTGTAAAGATCTTCACTGAATGATAGCGTCATATTCCGCCATTCTTACATTGAATAGCGTTTGTTGTTAAATAATAAAATAAAAAGTTTAGAAGCCAACAATGCCCCCATAAACTCCCATAGTAAGTAGAACTATTCCATATCGTTCTGTCTATCGAAATCTAATCGGACAGCTTTCTAAAGTCGGTCGTTGGAACCATCCCCACACCTTCCATTGATAGAGACGTTGAATCTTAGGATGAACGAAAAAGCATAGACACAACATGCTTTTACTTTTTCAGTCTGAAATTTGGTAACCTATTTTTTAAATTTACTTTCATATTATTTAGCGATTGCATTCCGTCGTTAATGACAGTGTAGTTATTTGAATTCAATAAACTAAAATAAATGGTTCAGTTAATAACATATGGCTATTAATGTCATATTACATCTATTTAGTTAGACCGGCTATGGTGCTTTAGCACCTTATTGCCTTTTAAAAGGCAATTAGAAAATTGTAAATTACAAATAACTAGAAAAAATCGAACTACCTAAGGCGGGAATCGAATCAACGATCTTTCGCTTACCGGGCAACTAACTGCTCTTCCATACAGTTAGACAGTTAGAAAATTATCAAATGATAAATGATTAAACTTAGGATACCAATAAGTTTCATAGGTAATTAAATAATCAATTTGTCCCAGCAACGTAATGATTACAGTTTCAATAAGTAATTAGCAGTAAAATCGTAGGAACCATTTTCATTCAATAGTAGATGTATATCGATGACAAACAACACTGTAAGTACCTTCTCATGCATAAACATGACTCTATGAAATTCATACTCTATCCCCTTATAATAGAGTCCAATTCCAACACCATACCTACTGTGTGGTCATGTAATGAGGCAGGCCTATTTCAGAGATCGGCGACAATTATTCGCAGACGGCGCCAAGAATTCCCAGCAAATGAAATGAAATCTTAATCCAAGCAATCCAAAGTCCATTTCCATTTGTATCCCCTTCGCCTATATTAGCGTTCTCGATTAAAATGTACAAAGTTTACCGACGAAATTTTATGGCTTATAGCAGTTGGAAAGCTGTAAAATAGCCACTAAGTCATAAAAGAGTGCTATATAGAGTGCGGCGCTAATTAAAGTGGCCGAGTTTATGGCCGCAGGACATTGCGGGTGGTTGACAGTTAATTTGTACTTGTGTTCGTCATTATGGCTACTTGTATGACAGATTGACGGGGACCTGTTAATTTATTTTGACACGTCACTAAAAGCGGAATATAGTTTTATCAACTGCCTGAGGTGGGTATTGTTATTGTTCTCGAGAATCTAAAGAGAGTATAATGTTTAAACGCTCTGTAGACTAACGCCCGTATTCACAAACGATGCTTGTTTAAGTGATTTTTTTTTACTAACTACCTAAAATGTCTCGAGAGAAATGTTCTCGAGTGGCGACCACGGGCTGGAAGACGTAGCGTGGGCAGGCCTCCTACTAGGTGGACCGACGATCTGGTGAAGGTCGCGGGAAGAACCTGGATGCGGGCAGCGCAGGACCGTTCATTGTGGAAAACCTTGGGAGAGGCCTTTGTCCAGCAGTGGACGTCATTTGGCTGAAACGAATGAATCTAAAATTTTTGTCAAAAGTTGTTGTTGTTGTCAAAAGCTGTTGTCAAAAGTCCTCGAAAGTACAAGTTATCGACATGATTATTTCGTTGTTATGAATAATTTAACATTGTCTAAAACTTGAAAAAATCAAGGACATTTTTCAAGTGAAATCTTAATAGATACTTTTTTGTTATAAGAAAGTTTAAATAATCTGTGATCTTTAAGTTTTATGATGACTTCTAAAATTTTTAAGACCTATACTTACAAATAAACTGTGTAACATCCGGCACACCACACAATTTTTAATCAGCAATACTATAGTCTGGTCCGCTAGCACGTAGAATTTTGTCCAATGACCCCAAGCTACCTATCCTTATTGCTCGCGCGTAATTATGTTGCTACCGAGCTCGCACACTCACTGCGGGTAATATAATTAGTATAAGGTAGCTAGGGGTCATTAGACAAAATTCTACGTGCTCACGGACCGGGCTTTAGAAGATCGCACCAAAATTACAATGTTAGCAAACAAAAGTGAACCTTCTGCTCGTATTTTCCACTATGTTAATTAAGCCCTCAAAATGTAATACACAGAACTTGATAGTTGGATTGTAAGTTCAATCCGTGTGTCACGCGCGTAACATTTTTATTTCACAGCCACGTAATGACATTTTAATGAAGGCACGCTGGAGTTAAGGTGGATTCACGTCACTACGAACGGAACAGTACGTTATTTTCCAAAAATCTAGTTAAAAATAAAGTACCTAAGCTGGTTGGCAAAAGAAATATAGCTAGAATGTCCTAGAAGAATTGTTAACAGAGCTCTGTAAGTTTTATTAATGAAGCTCTTAATAGCATTTCCCTACCTGCATCTTCAACTGATATAATAAATAAATAAATAAATCTTTGGACAATTTCACACAGCGCCAGCTAGCCCCAAAGTAAGCAACTTAATGCTTGTGTTATGGGTGCTAGCTTAACGGATACTACTTATATACTTTTTTTTTTAAATACATATATATTATACATAGTCACACCCAGACCCGTCACAGAAATTAAAATTCATCATTTCAATTTCTGCCCGGCCGGGAATCGAACCCGGGACCTCTCGGCATAGCAGTCCGTTCTGAACCACTACACCAAACGGCCGACTAAAGAACGATACGAACGATAGAAGAAGAACTATATAAAGAATGATCAGGCTGAAGTTATAAATGAGATTTACTCGGAATCCACAACTAGAGGCTCTAGCTATCTTATCTCTAACTGCAGAACCAAATGTTCGGGACGACTAAGACAAAATATGCGATTATCAGGCCTCCCTCCAACTTGTCGGGCCAACGTAAGAAGTGTAGCACAAATGGTCCATTTGCCTCTGATAAAGATAGGGTTATTTTCCTGCAACGTTTCAGCCAAATGACGTCACTGCTGGATAAAGGCCTCCACCAAGGATTTCCACAACGACCGGTCCTGTACCTCTAGTACGAAAAACTTTCGAGTTCGTTTCGTTGCGTATTCAAAGTGTCATCGAAAAATTTTGTATGAAAAATTAAACAGCGCCCCCTAGGGCGGCTATAATATAGGGGGCGCTGTTTAATTTTTCATACAAAATTTTTCGATGACACTTTGAATACGCAACGAAACGAACTCGAAAGTTTTTCCTACTAGAGGTACTGCACTGCCTGCATCCAGTTTCTTTCTGCGATCTTCACCAGATCGTCAGTCTACCTATGTTCCTGTAGTAGTACTAAATAAAACAACCAGATAATTAAGACTACGATAAATAAAGCTACACATTAATAAGCACGCAGCTTTGGTGGAAACGAAGCTTAACTCGAGTCGGATCATTAGAACGGCTTAAACAAACATTGTAAGCTCAATTTACAATTACACTAAGAATGTTGTAAGTCCGTATGGGCAATTTTGAGTTTACACGCAAGGTTGCATCTGAAATCGAAAAGGTGATACAGGGTGAAATAAATAATTATTTTGAGATTTCTCTCTATCACACATAACAAATAAGACCCGACAACCGAGCAGAGTAGAATAAGGAATCTTCCCGTGGATATCGTTAAAAACGTCTTAACACAGGGACAAAATGTCATAAAGTATTATTCAACCCATCTGTCCTGTCCAGGTCAGGGAGTGTAGACCAAATCCTACAGTACCCTCTGATAAATTTGTAGAAAGCTAATGTCAGACCTACACTTTTTTTAAGTTATTTTATCGGTCAGATTCTCTTTGTCAGAAGCTATAGTCAGTCTTTAGTATTAAATTGCTGTAGATTTGCAATGATTTGAAATGTTTGATTTAAGTGGATGCGAAGAATCGTTTAGGAAAGTAGTCTTGAAATAATAACAGTTCACATGTAATAAATAATGATTCGAAATATGCTAACGTAATTTGGTATGATTACTTTGGAAATAAGGTGTAATTTTACCATAATAACGTTATTATGTAGTTTCCTCTTGTTAGTTAGCCGTAAGTCATAAATTATTGAGTTTAAAGCATCATGTATTATTTTCATAGCTTATTCAACGTTTGCTTAACAATACGCTAACCGATGCCTTTGTTCGAGCCATATTCGGTTACATTGCCATACAATTTTGGATCTTATTCCTTTGTGATATGGTTGACCTATTTGTGTAACACTTGAAACACGTGCATTAACGTCGGGGTTTTGTTTACGCTTTTAATAACTTATGTGATCCAAACCGAGTGGTTTGATGGCTTTCTAATCGTTTGTTAACAGTTGATATAATTTACTAAGGTATAACCGAGCTTCTGAAGAAGTTTGGTATAAAGTTACAAAAGTTAAACGGTCATTATAAGTTTCACGGAGATAATGGGGACATTTAGTGGGAAATTACTACATCTTTGGATTTACACAGAGAGATCCGGTACCAGATTGTAGAATATTAAGCGGTCTCAGTACGGAATCTGTAAGTTAAATAATGAAAATCCTCGAAGAACCTTCTGGCGGTCACAGAACATCTACTTAAAAATTGATTCCTGTATTTTTACTACATATTATCTTTCTTCCTTTAAATTCTATCGCACACTACTTACAGACTTTTAGTTGCCCGTTAGTTTGATCAGCTTCCAATTTTATAAGAAATCGCTCGATACCAAAAATCAGTGTGCGCACTCCATAAGATGTTCATACCTTTAACAGCCCGACCAAACTGCCCGACAAAAAGTGGTCGAGGAGTCTTCGTGGAGTTTTCTGAGGAATAAAATGTAAATGACAAAACAAAGGTCTTTCGAAATGACTAAACTTTATCTTCACTTACTTATACGAAGCATTTTGCCACCATTTTTTTTTTTTCGACTGGAAAATGCATGAAACTGCATACTCACCAGCCCGGGGGAGCCAATGAGTTATGTGGGGCTCTCCTCGCCTGAAGGGCAAGGCCTACCCACTATAACGTTTGTCGCACTCACGTAGGTAACCCAAACCAGTCGGGTCCCTCTGGTAGCGCTTAGTGGGGCAGCATACGAGTCGGTGAATCGTTCGCATGTCTGCCCCCACGCAACGGCCGCAGCCTCGCTCTACAGACCTCTTCAAGGGGTCATCTCTCCAAAGCACGCGGGAACTCCGCGCGCACTTCGGGCCTCAGTGTTAGGAAGCGGACGCCCCCGCGTCCACCTCCATGAGGCTAGCCGTTCGGCCGGGCCCAGAAGGCACCGGTTTCGACTTCTGCAGCGGCTGAGGGCAATCTTTCGTCCCCAGCATGTGGTCCGCTGCCTTTCCTCCCGCTGAGCAAAGTAGACAGTGGGGTTCATTGGCGGGACATTCCTTCCTCTGGTGCCCCGGCTGACCGCATCGGAAGCAGAACGCACTGCGGTCGCTGACGTTGGCAGCGCATTTGTGAGCGACATGCCCATCGCCCCAACAGGACACACACCTCAAAGGTCTCGGTTTTAGCAACGTAATTTGCACCGAGGCCCATCCTACAAGTAGCCGGCGTAGACTTGCCAGCTGTTTCGCCGTTTTCGATGGCACACGCGCGATGACACTGCGGGTGTCCCGGGTACCGCTTATTTTACCCACTTTGATCTGTTCTAGTGGGCACCCAGTAAGCATTTTGCCACCATGCTCTAACAGGTGTTTAAACTTATGCCATAGATAACCTCTCTGTGACCTAGCTTATTGACGATGTAGCGTTACAGATATCGATTCGATAAGTAGATCTACTATTTTACATTTTGGGACGTGGAGAAGCGATCACAATCTCGAATTTAAATCGAATGTCACATTAAATATATCATCTTCTTCTTCTTCTTTTTTTATGGCAACGGCTTAAATATATCATACTGTAAGTTGTAAACTATTCAAAATACCCCCAATGAAGGTCAATTCTAATTTTTATCTTGTTTTTTTGTATAACAATGACTTGGGTTTTGGAAACCACGATTTTGCCAATCTCATATGTGCAGAATTTAAATAAGTTGTATAATTTAGAAAACTTCTGAGTCCCAGCAACTGCACTTTGGAAGATTTTGATGAGTGCTGCTGACAACGCCACTCTTGTGGCAGAGTTTTGGGCTGACACTGTGTATTGTTGTCGACACGAAAAGAAGAAAATTTAGAAAACGTAATTACTTACAAAGAATACATAAGGTGATATGGTCGTCCTTACATGATTTTTTGAACATACGCAAACGGAAATACAGTCAAATGTCAAAAGGTCACATGGAAACGCCTTCTAAGTCCGGTTTGAGACTAAAACGTGACCTATTAGGAAACACATTAACTTAATTAAATAAGACTTACAACAATTCGTTGTGGGAAATATGTAAAAATGTCAATGCTGATACTATTATGGCATATTTCACATCTTATACATAATGAATAATGAATGAGCTACATGGGAGGTGTCGATAAAATTCAAATTATTTTGTCTTCATCTCGAAGAAGGGCCGCTTTCACCTCTGGCCAAGTAAAACATGATTTCATTGCTTGTATGTTGGCATTTCTATTGTCGACCACACTTCAATTTAAAGTATGATATGCTACCGCAAACAGTGTTGGGTAACGTCCCAAAATAAATGCAGTCAAGAGCGAGTTGGCTGCATTAATATTTTAGTAACTTTTCTTTTGTTTTGTATGCAACATATGGAAATCCATAACATAGCTATCACGAAATCATATCTAGGTACATCTAACAAAAGATACGGTAAATATAGTATAGGTATCACCTCAGGTATCACAAAAAGTCATTTATTTTAAAGCACTTTCATCCCAGTATAATTTTAATCCTACCACAGCTTCGGGGCAATAAGTGAGCCAGTGCTGAAAAGAATCAGCGCAAGAAACTATTTCTGCTAAGAAGATAATATTAATTATTGCTGTTTTTTGGCTTTTAAAAGTTAGGACGATAGGTATCTAAACGGGTAGTTCTAGAGATGATTCTTCTTTTGCAAGGCGATCAGCGTTTTTATTCAGATGATTGCATACAGCAGCTCTTTATATCAAAAATTATAGCTACGGAACCCTTCTATATTTACAACAGTTTGGCTCTTAGTAACTTCTGGCCAAAGAGAGCTTAAGTGTCCTCGTAATAATGTTTAAAGATTGAATTATGCGCTTAAGATTTCAATACGACGTTTCTGTTGACAAAAGTGATAAAGCAATCTCTTGAGAATCAGAAGAAAGTCGTTCTCAATTTAAAGAATTAAAAGGTAAAGAACTGAGACTGAGGCTTTTTAAGTAACCATAAAAACATTAAATTTTCTACCCAAATCATCTACCCACTGTGAGGAGTGTAACCCAATTCCTCCATTTGCCTCTGGTAGAGTTGTAGAGGGTCTTACTCTTGCATTGAAGACCAAAATACTGACCTGATGACGACGACAAGGCCCATAGGCATAAACAACACAATATAAAAGTACTACAACAAACGCTGATGTTTGTTTAACCGCGATAAATTGTAAGTAATTAAGAATGATGTAATCTCAGATCTCTAGTTAAACAAGAGTACAGTTAAATTAGTAGAGCCAGTTCATTTGATCAGAGAACAGGAACCGAAAATGTGTTATCTTCGTGGAGAAGAGAAAAAGCTTTGTTGGTGACATCAAACCTCGTTTATAATGTATTTTTTACTTTTTATACTTTTTTTCTATTTCTATTGTTTTTGATACGTCTTGTTGATTTTAGATATAAAAAAGTGAATGAATACACAGTTTTGTTATGTCGGAAAGTTTCGTGTTTGCTTTAAAAGTTAGCTACTTATTCCCATACACACGAGGCTCACACCTTCACACATAGGTTTCAGTGAAATCCACAACAAGCTTCGAACCAATAAAAATAAAGAAGATGAGTGTAATTTTACAGACGAAAAAAAACTGATCTTAGGAAGCCATTATTATTCACTGTTGACTGGGAGGACCAGTCATTCTGGAAAACCTTGAGGGATTGGTTTACGTAAGAGAACAGCAACGGAAAATGGTGGAGAAGAGAAAAAGCTTCGAACCAAGAAAAAAATAAAGAAGATGAGTGTACCTAATTTTACAGACGCTAAAAATTAGATCTTAGGAATCCATTATTATTCACTGTTGACTGGATTCGGGGAACATCTAGCTAGACGCAGGAAGCGAAGGAACAGTTGTTCTGGAAAACCTTGAGGGATTGGTTTACTTAAGAATTAAGTTCCAGATCCAATGACAGTTTAACTTTCCCCCGGGATAAACTTGACCTTCACTGGTTGGGTTCTTATTGGCGGTCAAGCTGTAGATCCTGGCTACACAGGAGCTGCAGCGGTGGCAACGAGAGGAGGGAATAGTCCCGTTTACGGACGAACGTATTAGCTGTTAAATTTATGCTATGACCGAGGTCAGTATTAGTTAACGGAGGACAAGATGGTGGCGCTGATTGCATCGGAAATAACACAGTAATGAGCCACTTTGGGTGAAGGAATTGGTCACTTTGGAGATGTTAAGTAGGGACAAATATGACGCTATTAAAATTTTGAAATCACTACAGATTTTAAATTGAAAAGGCCCGGGTAAATGGACCGATAAAGTTCAGATATGGAATCACTTTCTGAGGCATTTAGGTTGATGAGACTTGGTTTTAATATGTTTTTTTATTTATTTTTGGTCTTATATTTTTTCTTTTTTTTCTTTCTTTCTTAATAGGGACTCAAACTACCTATAGATGGTTTTAAAAACACTGTGGTTTCTTATTTAAGTATCGTCTTGCCTAAAATATCATTACATAATATTGTTAATAAGGTCAAAGTCGCAGTCGCAGAGACCTTCTTCAGAACAACGTTTTCAAAGATCTTTATCGCGTATTAATTATATTTTACCATTTAGTTATCTATTACAACGCGATTTTATAATGGTCAAGTCAAAGTCAAAGTCAAAGTCAAAATTTCTTTATTTGTTTGGACTAATAAATAGTTCTTACAAATCGTCATTTTGCTCTTAAGGAGCCTCTACATGTCTCATAATCTTTTTACCCTACCAGCGCTTCGAGACCAACATTTGGCAAGTGCTGAGAAGAAGCGCAGATGTTAGCCGTATGGTTTTGGCAAACTAGAATAAGATCACCCTCACTCTTATGGTTGTCGTTATTGAGTGACTATGGGAGAAATTTTAAGGATGACCATCAGGCCTCCTCAACCCGTCTGGCCAGCTTGGGGAGTGTAGACCAAATCGTCCATTAGCCCCTCATCATCATCATCATTTCAGCCATAGGACGTCCACTGCGTTGAATATAGGCCTCCCCCAATGCTTTACACGTTGATCGATTGGTAGAGGTCATTAGCCCCTGGTCCCTGGTACCTAAATTAGAAAGAGTCATCCTCCTATAGTGGATGATACTAAATGACTGGTGATTATGAATTAGATATCGCGTATTTTCTTCATTGTTTTGGAAAACATACTTAAACTTTACAATACGGATTAAATATAAATAAAAGTGTTTGACATGAGCTTATTTATTAATCCTTTTGGTAACATCCAGTTCCTGGTAAACTCAAACAAGTAGGTATATCACAATAATAATGAACACACCAACGTCTGATTCATAAAATATACACGTACGACAAAGCCCTTTTACGCCGAATGCCAAATGAGCTTCTGGCAACTTTTTTGTCATAAAAAAAGTAATGCCTAAACCTTTTTCAAGGTAATAAAGAATTAACTGACGTCACAATTTCAAAAATCGAAGTCGGAATGTAAAAACTAATGACACTCGCACGAAATAGAATGTAAATGTGACCATTTTAAAAACCGTTATGGCCAGTTACAGAAACTTTGACCCACGTGTAGGTATCACCACGATCTTGATTACGTTGATAAGGTATTTTGATTCAGTGATAAGTATAAAATTAAATGTCGCGATAGAGCCATTTTAATGTAAACCTGTTTTGTATTTGTTCTGTTTTTCCCTGGGTCTTTCTCTATGCCAAATTCATCAAAATCCGTATACCTTTTGGTTTTGCTTGAGAGAGTAACAAAAATCTTTACATCATTCCTTTTACATTTATATTAACACTATCTGACCCGGCGAACTTTGTTCCGCCTTAATGGCAATAAATAAGCAAGACTTTTTTTTTCATTTCGAACGGGATAAAAAGTATCCTATGTCCTTCTCCTGGCAATTTTCAGCTAAATCGGTTCAGCCGTTCTTGAGTTATAAGTGGTGTAACTAACACGACTTTCTTTTATACAGTGTGAGTCACGTTAAAGTGTACATATGAAAATAGATGAAACTAGACCTATTTTTATAGACAAAAAAGAGGTCAAAAATTTTTTGAGATTTTTTAAAAAAAAATTATAGATTTTTTTTTCTTCCAATTACTTATTGTAAAGAAAACGTAATAACTTTTAAACTAAGCGGTATATCCTGATAAAATAAAAACAGTAATAATGCTAAATAACAGGCAATACTAAAAAAATACATAAAATACACAAAAAAGGCCAACAAATAATAAAAAATGATACTTTTTGATAAAAATCTGCTTTTAAATTCGTGTTTTTTTGGTTATTTGATAAATTTCTACAAAAAATGCCCCTATAACCGGTGGTTTTTATTACTACTATTTCTTTACAATAAGTAATTGGAAGAAAAAAAAT